CAGGTATAACGGGAGGGGAGGGGCAGCAGCTGCTTGTACTGGGTTAACTGGGCTCAGGAGGGACGTCTCCTCCTCTCTCTGCATTTCAGCTCAGTGGTGAGTGAGGGGCCCTCTGGGTACCACTGTCCTTTGGGATGGGGATGTGGGGCTGGGACATGGCATCTCTTGGAGTCTTCTCCCTTGCCAGGTGCTCTGGGCAGCTCCTGGTGGGATGTGGCTGGGGGGGGTTGGGGGCGCCAGGGGGGGGGCTTACACCCCAATGATGCCCTGAGCTTCCCTGCCCTAGGCATGTGCTGGCAGGACACCACAGGGACAGTGGCCAGCTCTGGTCTGCTGCGCTCTGCGCAGGCGCTCGGTCAAACAAAAGGGTTGGGTAAACGTTTGGGAAGCAAACACCCGTAAAAGCAGATTCCCAAGGGCTCTCCCGTCACCGCGGGTGTCACCGCTCCGGCCCCTGGCTCCGAACCCACCCCAGCGCCGTTGCCGAGGCGGTGGGTGGCTTTGCTCCGCTCCCAAATGCTTCCTGGGTCTCGTCCCTCCTGCTATGGGGGGAAACAGGTCTGGAGGTGGAGGAAGGGGAAAGAGCTTTATTGGGGTGACGGGCAGCAAGTGCGCTGTGCCACGTTCCTCTGTGCCTCTCCCAAGGGCAGCGGTGGGGCAGGGACATCTCCAAGAGCCTTCGCTGGGGGTCCCAGTGTCTGCTCTGTCCCCAGGGTCAGTCCCGTCCCAGTACATCCCTGTCCCGCAGACGGGACGGGCTGTGCGTGCCAGGGAGGGACCAGTGTCCCTTCTCCTTAGTCACGTGTCCCCAGGAGCGCCCTGGAACGGGGCACCAGCCTGCCTCCCCACAATGGCTTTCTTGGCATCCTTCCCATTCCCAGGGGTGCCTGGCAGCCGTCCTGCCCCCAGCGGCACCGCTACCCTCCTCCCATGGCATACAGGGCAGGGCCGGGACAAGCCCCGTGGCCACTGGCCCTCAGCCTGGCAGTCCCTGCCCTGCAGGTTGGGTGTGGGCACCGGGGGGTGTCAGGGTGCCACATGGAGCCCGAAGGGGCTGCGACTCGAGGAGACCAGGGACGAGGTTACCCCTCAGCACCCCCCTCCACTCCATGCCATCCCCCTGCCTCAGGTGTCACTGGCGGGCCGGCTGCCCCCCGCAGCAATTTCCG